CCCGTTTCTGCTACCATTTTCTGCCAATATCTCTGATGATAAATCCGCGACGGATTTCGAAAAGTCACGCGAATAAAAGTATTGTCCCAGCGATCGAATCGTCTTCTTCTCAATGACACGATCGTCATCGGGGTTGCACGATTCCTGTTCCGGTCATGCAGGCACGCCCACTGGTGACCCAAGGGTGCGTCTATTAACTTGTAAAAGCAGGCAACGTGATGTACGGTAAGCTCCCCATCTCATGAAATATCAACCGAAATTCTAAAATGTGTGTTTTCGATTGGAACAAATTAACTAAAGTAGGGGGCTTTAATATTGACTAGCCTTCTGTTTAAATATTTCAGTCACATCAGGATGCCAGCTTTTAAACGAACTTCCTTCTGATTGCCTGCAAAAAGCACACCTCGTATAAACATGACTGATTAAGTAGTATGCATTTTCTCATTGATTTTCGATGCTCTTATAAATTCAAAGGCTCTTTATAGAAAACATTCACAAAAATGTTTTTCTTTGTACACGTGTGGCAGAAACTTACTCCCCCTTCAAATTGTATACTTTCGGACTGAAAACAGCTTCCAATTTTGAGATTGCTTAGAATCGCGAGATGTGCCAATTTATTAATGTTGCCTAAAAAGCATGCAACATAATCCACATCGGAAAATATATACTTTTCCTTATATTTGATTTATACAGCGTGTCGGTTGGAAGACTTGAATTCAAGTCTAAAGACTAGTTGGGTTAAAAATTATTCGGTCATTTATAAACTGTTTTTAAAACTAAAAGAACCTTTTCCTCGAGCGTCACATTATAAACTACTATTGGTCAGCAAAGGATGTCTCTTCACTAATAAAATATATTAGACAACCCCTAATTGTTAACCTAATGTAGGAAGTGCTTGGATCTGCCTAACTTCGACCTACTGAAAATTTGCAATGGTTATTAACAATAGGAACCCTCAAAGGGCTTCTATGTGGATTTCTGTCAAAATTTGAATACGGCGTAATTTGCTACTTAAGAGGTATAAGGAAGAACATAAAAATATATTTGAACTTATAAGGGCTTCGAAAAAATAGGCGAAAATGTACACAGCCTAAGTAGACACTTTTTGCAGAGTACACTTTTTGAAGGCTGTGGGAAAGAGGCTCCCGTAAAAGCTGACATCCTGACGTGACTGAAATATCTTGAAAATAAGCTGTACGGTAATCAAAATCATAACCCTATGTACGTAATTTGTTCGAATAAAAAACATATTTTATAATTTCAGTTGACGTTTCATGAGATAGGTTATCTACTGTATATACCTTGGGAGTAGCGATCCATCGTGGGGCTGCCGAATACTCCCATTCTTTTTAGAACCATATTTTTCAGCCGATAGGATATATCTTCTACTTAAGCAGATGAACATTCATCTATAGGAAGTTTACAGGTTATCCTCCTTCCGCTATCGGCTGGTGTATCGCAGGATGTTAAGTAAATGGATAGAGCCCTAACGGCTGCGATCTTCAGACCCGATTTCTTGGGAAAAGGAGGAGGAATGAGATACCAAGAAGTAGGAACAGGAAGACATGTGACAATAGTTAGGAGGAAATTGACTCTCCGACGAACGCAGTCCGTTCCCTAGTGGGGCGGCATCCGGAGTACGGGCCTGGTGACCGGCATCCCAGTCAGGCCCTGTGTTAGTTGCTCTTGAAGGCAAATGACCAGACAGAAGATTGAGGTCAGCCTACGACCGTAGGCGTGTTATTGGCCACCGCGTTCTCGCAGCGTTAGCATCATCTGTGATTGGCTGTCTCAGAACCTAAAAGCAGTGAACGTTTGCGTGAAGCTAGTCACTACAGGTTTACACTTTGCTACCCGTCATCCCCGCCTGAGATCGGCTTCTCCGTGGTTGCGTTAGACCTTGTTCGTTCAAGGCGACAGTAATAAAAACATCGAATATTGCCGGTGGATGAGTTACTCGCCCGATTTCGGCGTCTCTCAAAGACTATACACTACAA